TCACTTCGGGGATCCTGACGTTGCTAATTGGATAGGGCAAAGCCGGCGCGCAAAGGCCGCTGGAACCAAAGAACGTTAAAAACCGTCTTTCCCGGGCTTCGTGCCCTCGGGACCCTCCTCCCGCCTCCGATTCGCCAAGCCAGGTGTCAATCCAAATCGTGAGAGGCAATTCAGTCAATCACCTGGCAGAGACCACCTTATTGGTNGGGTGATAAATGATTAAGAGGGAAAACTGAATTCTTTCCAGTCTAAGTTGCTAAAGCAAATGAGATTTTGAAAAACAAAAGGGAGAAAAATATGGACTTTATATTTTGAATTAGATTGTCACTTTATACAGATTTAAAATTAATATTATATAGTAGAAAAATGGGGAGGAAGGTACCACTACAGGTAGTCTTCGACCCACAATAGTTCATTGAGTGACCGTCCAAAGTTAAAATGTCACTTAAAGTGACTTACGTCTGTTTTTCACACTTACAATCATTGCAACATCCCAATGGTCACAAGATCAAAATTCAGATGCTTGGCAACTTACTCATATTTATTACAGTTGCAGTGTCCTGGGGTCATGTGATTGACCTTTGCAATCTTCTGACAATTTAACTCAATGGAAAGTCAAATTCACCTAACCCTGTTATTGAATAACTGTTATTTAGCAACTGCAGTGATTCACTTAACTGTGTTAAGAAAGGTGGTAAAATGGGGCCAAACTCACTTAACAATTGTCTCACTTAGGAACAGGAATTTTGGGCTCAATTGAGGTTGTTAAGTCAAGGATTATCTGTATTTGGCCTTCTTATTCATGTAGCATTATCTACATAAAAATGTAAACAAAAGGTGTTGTCTAGTTCATGCATGTAGAGGTAATTCTCAACTTACAACTACAATTGGAACCAGAAATTCCATTGCTAACAAGGAGGTTGTTAAGCTAGACATGCCAATTTTTTTATGTATATTTTGCTGCAATTGTTAAGAAAATCACTACAGTTGTTAAGTGAATCTGGATTTCCCACATTGACTTTGCTTATCGGAAGCCAGCTGAAAAGATTGCAAATGGTGACTACAAAACCCTGGGATGGGGCAACATTGCAAATACACACCTGGTGCTAAGCTCCCAAATGATGATTATATGACTGTGAGGATGCTCTGACAGTCAAAAGTGTGAGGACTGTTTGTAAGTGCTACTATAATTTTGAAATGTCACCAAACAAATGATGCTAAGTTGAGGCCTACCTGTACATAGCACTTTAAAAAGAATAAAGGCAATAAGAGATTCCAGTCTTATAGAGCCAAGGTGGCGCAGTGGTTAAATGCAGCACTGCAGGCTACTGCTAGATCAGCAGTTCAGTGGTTCAA